AGAATCCACTTTCTGGGTATTTGAGATATTGGAGAAGAAAAAAGAAAACACATAGTAAGCAGTGATAGTATAATAATAGTGAGGCAGGATGTTAGAAGAGGGCCACTTTGATTATCTTGTCTGATCTTCCAAAACAGCCCTCTGATACAGGCACTCCACATCTTCCTGCACACACATCGCAGCACAAGAGCCCGAGCTGATGGATGCAGTGTCCATGCCCCTCATTTAGGTCAGCCCACCACCAAATAAAGGTCACTAATATCCCCAGGCAATCACATCAGTGTCAAGTCCCCATCCTGTGCCTCTTCAGACCTCGGGCCCTCCATCACTGCTGTCATGCCATTGTGGAAGGAGGCCAGGGATCCTGGGGACCAGGAATGGAATCCGAGCTTCACCACTTCCAGTGGTGAGACCTCAGGTGACAGTCATGGCGTGTCTGAGCAGGGCTGCCTTTTCCAGTCTGGGATGGTGGCACTAATCCAGAGTGGTTGTTGGGGTACTCAGATGACATAATGTGTTCGTGTAGAAACGAAAGCTACTGCAGTGGGGCAGGTGCTATGCTCCTGTGTGTACTCCTCCCAGCCATCCTACGAGGGAGGTTCTGATATTACCCATCAGGCACCACAAGGTTAAATAACTTGCCCAATTCCACCTCTACTATAATAAATGATAGTTCTATTTTTGTTACCATTCCACTACCCCTCATAATAAATACAGGCTTATGTTAACCTTCTGTGCCAGCCATTTCAATAAAAAAAGAAAAATGGAAACACTTTTATTCTAGCATTGAAGAACATGAGGACTTAAGGAAGTGAGACATTAGCCTGTGTGCCATTTCCACTACCCTCGGAGGTAGAGAGCTAGTCTTGTGATGTCGACATTTCATCAAGATCAGTGGAATCACCATAGACTTTTGTGTAATTTCCACAGAAGTGGTTAGTCAAGTGAGGTTTTTCTTTCAGTTCCAATGTGCCAACATGTATAATATATAGCACTTAACTAGAATGAGATTATAAAGAAGGTAATCTTCCTGTTACACAGAGGTAAAATGAAAAGTCTTTGCATCACAATTTATTCTGCTTTTTCCAATAAAGAAAAATGTGCAATACATTGGAAATTTAAACATTTCAGATTTCTGCCTGTAATATTTTAAAGCATGAAAAGACATCATTATGTTCTATTTTTACATGCAGCTGCAACTTACTTAAAGCAGATTTGTTGCTGAGAGGTTCTATCTTGATGGAATGTTCATAAATGCTACCTTAAATCACTACGTAGTGGAACTGGTTAGGCAAAGGATTTACATGGACAGTACTTAGTAAAATGAAAATTCTTGCCATCAAAGTGTTTAGCAGCCTCCGAAGATGCCCTTTTGTTTTCATTTGGATTTCTATACCCCGCATTTCTTGAAGTAAAACTAGTCAGCTTAGTTGGTTATAGCTGAGGTTTTCTCCCTTAAAATTAAGTGAACATTTTACATGTGTGTGGTTTTTCAGGGAGACAGTCCTGGTTTTCATGGAACTCTAAAAGGTGATCTTTGACCCCATCCAAAAAATAAGGCCTGAGATTCCAGGGTGAGGGTACATGGCTGATGACACCAGGCTCTGGGCTCTTCTCCTGCCCCAAGTGTGCCCTTGGCCAGCCACATGGTGCATGGCAGAGCCAGTCTGGACCTGAGTCACATTCTGTCTGCAAGAGAGGACTGGGGCGGGGGGAGAGGGGCACGCCTCGGACCCCTTGCATCAGCGGAAGTGGGTGATGTTCTTCTGTGTAACGGGCGGTTTGGCTGCTGTCTGTGTCCAGTGGTGTTCCCACCAAATTTTGGTCTACCTGGAACCTATAAGTGGGACCCTGTTTGGAAGTAGAATCTTTTAGAGGTATACCAATTGAGATGAGGTCATACTGGGTAGGCCCTAACAATGACTGGTTTCCTTATGAAAAGAGGGAAATTTGGGCACAGACGCAGGGAGGATGCATGTGGATAAAGATGAAGCCAAGAGCAGCAAGGGTTGTGGAACCTCCCAAAGCTGACGGGCCCTCAAAGACTGCTTCCCGACCAATAACTTGAATTTGGACTTACAGCCTCAACAAATAAACCTGTGAATAATTTTTGTTGTTTTAAATTATTCGGTTTGTAGTATCTTAAAACTAATATAGATGCTAATAACAGAATTTTTTTTAAAAGTAAAATGAACAAAATTAGTAGGTTATTGCTTTCTAAAATAAAAGAAGCCAGAGGTAGGCAGTCTGAGCAGGTATAGCAACTCCAAGATTTACCCAGGGCCCCAGGCTCCTGTGGGCACCCCCTCCCCCCAGTCCTGAGGTTGCCATCCTCCTCTGCGTGTTTGCAAGGCGGTCCATGGAGCCTCTGCCAGCACTTCAGCAGCAAAAGTGAGGAGTGTCAAAACCGGTTTGGCTCAGTGGATAGAGCATCAGCCTGCAGACTGAAAGGTCCCAGGTTCGATTCCGGTCAAAGGCATGATGTACCTTGGTTGTGGGCACATCCCCAGTGGGGTGTGTGCGGGAGGCAGCTGATCAATGATTCTCTCATCGATGTTTCTAACTCTCTATCTCTCTCTCTTCCTCTCGGTAAAAAAATCAATAAAATATATTTAAAAAAAAAAAAAAAAAAAAAAAAAAAAAAAAAGAAGTGAGGAGTGCACAGGCCCCAAAGAGCAAACCCAGTCAGTCCCCCATGAGGACTGGTCCAGTAGCTCTGTTGAGGGCCTTATCTGACACCTCATTGGCCAGAGCTGTGTCACATGAATGACCTTGACTGAAAGGATTAGTGGGCGCAGCACTTCCATGAATGAAATCTGGGACACGTTGGTGACAAAGGGGTGGAGGTGGAGTCAGGGTAGCCCACCAGCAGCTCTGCCACCTCTTTAAACCCAAAGATAGGACAGCCGTGAGGATCTGAGCTTTCTGGCTGCTCGTGCTCTTATCCAGAGAGAGCACACGGAGAGTGGCCTTCAGAACATGGGGCTTTATTCCTGCTTCAGCCTGTAGTGTAAGACAGTCCGTTCCGTTTCCCAGCACACTCAGACCTTCTGCTTCCCCGCCTTTCAACCTCCTCCTTCAAGCATCAGCACACATCTCTTGGCCAGCTCGCAGCTAAGCAGGGCATCCTAGAGAGGATGGCTGGGGCAGCTTGGCTCAAGGAACTTCTAGGCAGCATGGCCAGTATGGTGGTGTAAGATCTCAGGTGGACACTGAGACTTCTGCAATGGGGTGGTAAATCTATACACCTCCACGCAGGTGTGTGCAAATCTTGTTCTGAAGTTCCCTTCCAAGGCTTAAACTTGCCAGTTAAAGGCAACTCCCTTTCTTACAGGTGCACCCTGCCCAGAGTTTCTCCACTCCGTCTGTTCTCCTTGCCAGATGGTGTCAGTGTCAAGTTCCGGGGATGGCTGGCATGTGTTTGTTGTTTGAGGAAGGCCTCTGAGTGCTCCGGTCCTGCCGGCCTCTAAAGAAAGCTCAGCTTCTGGACCTCTGTCCCTACTGGAGCTGCTGACTGCCTGACTGGCCTGTAGCCTGTGACCCTCAATGCCTGTGGTCCTTGCTGCTGACCAGGAGCCCCATCCCTGCTTTGGAGGGCAGACACCAGGCAGTGTGGCCGAATGCTTTGGCTTCCACAGCAGACTATCCACGTGGCAGGCAGAGGCATCACACTTGTTTTGTTTTTATTTTTGTCAGATTTCCTCCTTTCCTACTCTCCTGCCCCAGTTTGCTGGGTCTAGCCTCCAGAGACCTCCCCTCCATTAATTCCCTAGATCCAGGAAGCCCCCATGCTGCCTGCAGACATGCTAGTATTCCTGCATCCTTTGGTTGAGCTTCCTCTCAGGCTGGGAGCTGGGAAATCTGTCCCACCTTCAGCTCAGTAGGGCCAGAGCCCACTGCTACCCTTGGCCTCCAAGCTCTGCCTTAAACACCAGAGCAGCCACAAAAACAAAAGTAACCTGTGCAGCCCTCTCAAAGCCCACAGAACTCTTTCCTGTTAATTTCCTGCAGTTGGTTGTCATTAATGTCCTGTTGAGTGCATTTTGTGTGTTTTTTTATTGAGAGAGAACAAATTGTTACAGGCTTTTAAGGAAACTAAAAACATTTGCTCTCTAATTATATCTATTATTCCATTCCCATTCATCATGCTTTCTTGTTTCGGAGCAGGCCTTTCTTTAGAAAGTACAGTCACGTTTTCTGAATAAAGAAAAGCTTCTGATTTTCTGCCTCAGTGTGTGAGAGGGCTTGTCAGCATGGTTCAGACTTATTCTTATTAAAGATTCTAGTAAATTGACAGCCTGGACTTCTGTTGATATCAGTCCTTGCTTTGGCCCTTACTGGAAATGCTTTGGGGAGATAGTTAGAATAGCAGTGTTTTGAAATGCACGTTCCAGGAGTTTTTCTGCATGTTTGTTCATTCATTCATTCATTCAGTCAGTAAATACTCATTGTGTTTTTGAACACACCAGCATTATTCTAAAGGCCGGGAGTTTATGTTCTATTGGGGGAGACAGACACCAAATAAGCCAGCAATCAGATGGTGACAAGTGCTTACTATCAGTGTAGTGAAAGAGGTGATTCTGTAGAGAGCAGAGGGGGGCCTGGGCTACGTTAGTTGAATGGGCAGGAACACTGCGCCAAGGAGGCGATGCTGGAGCAGAGAACTGAGCCAGGAGGAAAGGCCAGTCATTGGATTTGGGGACAGGACCTCCAGGTCAGGGAGCGGTGTGCTGGCTCGATACACAGCTCCCTTGACTGTCAGGGCACTCACGGAACTAGGGAGGCCAGAGCAGAGGATGGGACAACCACAGAGTGAGTGGCTGAGCATGTGGCGTGTAAGGCCACAGACACTGAGAGAGCAGTTTGGCAGAACAGTTTGGTGTGAATCGTTGCTGCAAAATTTGCCAAAAAAGCTCTCAAACTTGTCTGAAGTTAGAGTATGGCAGCAGATAAGTTACACTCAGAGCATTAGTTATAAAATGTCATTCTTCTATTTTCAGTAAATATTCAAGATGTGATATTACAAGAAAATTTGGAAAAAGAAGATCAAATTCTGGTTTCCCTGGCAGGATTAAAACAGGTATGTCCACAGATGTGACTTTGTGTCCCACAGGCATCCGTTTTCATTTCTGTTGGGGAGGGCACCCTCGGGCATGGAGTGCCAGGACATTAGAGCCATGTCACCCCAGCCCCTCATGTCCTCCCAGACAGAGCCCCTCCTGGATCTCCACCTCCTGCGCCTCTCACTCCTCCTGGTGATCCTGTCTGACTAGCCTGAAGCCCAAACTGACGTTCCATTTCCCATCCCTGCCCCTTCCTCACCAGATCTATGTCCAGTGGTCCAGCATCACGTTCAGTCACATCCGTAAATACCAATGCCCTTGGGACACAGTCTTACTCGTTCCCTGCAACAGGCCTCAGACCTCTAGGGGCTACAGTTCAATGACCCTTAGGACCCATACAGGGATGTAAATGTTGACAAAAACTGTGCTGCTCTCAAATGTCAGCTGGAGTGGAGCCCGTGAGGAGCTGAGGGCTGTTCAGTGGGGCTCAGTGTGCAGGCCACTGGTGCTTCCTGCCTTGAGTTAACCGCCAAGGAGGTGACACCCATGCCTGACCCTGTGAGAACCTGGCCATTGAGACGCTTCCATTTTCCTTGGTCATTAATAAGTTGATGGCAGTGATAGAATTGGATTTTTCTCTGCTACTTCTTTCTGATGGTAATACAGTGATATCCATACTATAAAAAATTGTCAGTGACAATGTATCAGAGATTTAGCAAGCATTTAAAAACAAACTGTCTTTCTCATTTATTTTCTTCTTCTTTGAAAATAGATCAAAGACATTCTCAAAGGTTCCCTGCGTTTCAACCAGAGCCAGCTGGAAGCCGAGGAGAATGAGCAGATCACCATCTCAGACGACCACTACAGCGGTCAGGGCCAAGGCCAAGGCCAGGGCCAGAGTGGCCAGCTGCCCGGGGCCACCAAGCAGGTACAGAGCTCTGACAAATGGTGTCACATTGAGGGGGCACAGTCACCTAAATTCTTTAAAGTTATGGATTATAAAATCCCTACGTCCCTTTAGATTACCATGTGCGAAGTTCATCTGTGCACTACCACAGATGGCCTGGGCCCAGGTTGCTGTGTACAGCCTGTAAGGTGCCCTCGGGCGGTGCCAGTCACAGTGATAGCAGTTGGTTAGTGCCTCCCGGAGCTGTGCAGTGCACCCCACACACCTTTACGCAACTGCCTTGGCCTGGCCGCCTGCCGATTCCATGGTGTGGGCCTGGAAGGCCAGGTCTCTGCCTCAGTCACTGGCCAGCTGTCTCCAGCTGATGCCTCAGGACGTGCTGCCCCTGCCTTCCTGATGCTGTCCTGGTGTGTTTTTTGCCTTCATGGGGAAGGACTTTGCATTAATGTCCACCCTCAGAGGCAGAGAGGTCAGTAAACTTTTTCTGTAAAGGACCAGATAGTAAGTATTTTAGGATTGCAGGCCACATAGGGTCTCTGTCATATGTTTGGTTTTATATTGGGTGTGTGTGTGTTTGTTTGTTTGTTTCTACAACTCTTTAAAAATGTATAAGCCATTCCCAGCTTGAGCTGCGCAAAAACAGGTTGCAGGAGGCATTTGGCCTGTAGGCTATAACGTGCTCTCAGGTGTCTGCATTGTGTATAACATAATGTCACAGAATTCCAACATAAAGTCACAGAATTTTCCAGTTAGAAGAGATGGAAGAGATTCCTCATGCACTTAGTACTGCCTGCTTGTTTTTCAGTGAGAAAATGAGGCTTAGGAGGCCCATGGCTCAGCAGACATTATGTTTGCAGAACTTGTCCCAGTGCAATAGCTTCCTGCTCCGCCATGCTGCCTCACTGTCATCATCCGACAGGATTGAAATCCCTAGTAATACTCTTTTCAAATGGCTTACGAAGTTTCAGCTTTAAAAATGAACATTAGCAAAATCTCATCTAAGTTACTTTCTCAAAAACTAGCATCCAGATGCTTGTAAATTATTTATTTTTATGATTTTAAAAAAGCAAAATGATATGTTAGAACAGGAGCTTTTTAGTTTTAAGAGTACTCTTCAAGAAGAGAGAACTCTGTGTGGTTAATTCACCAGCTCTACGGGAAGTTTTTATGGAGCATTTTGAGTCTGCATTGTAGCCACATTGATACATTAAAATTGCAAGTTTAACTTGATTAGTTACTCCTAATTCTCTTTCCCTGCACAGATGTTTAAATTTTCAATAATAATTTATTTATTCAAATTCTTTTGAGTCCCAACCAATTTTAATTGGCCATTTTATTGAAAAACTTAGTGTGGTACTTTTGTTGAATATGTAAAAACACTATAGAAAAAGACCTTTCAAACACAGAATTTGCTACATTGAAAACTTCATTGAATTTTGCAGTTGTCATTCCTGGCTTTCATATTTGTAAGAACCTACCTGTTACCAGCACACGTTTTCAGTTTACAGTGCAGGACAGTGGTCATACGAACAAAGTGTCCCCACGTGGGAGCCAGGAGGTCAAGGTTCAGGTCCATGTGCACACAGGTGGGAGGGCAAGCCCCTCAGACATCCCTCTGAGCGACCCAGCTCTGAGCAGGGGCACCTTGCAGAGGGACAAGGATGGAATGAAAGGACAGTCTCTCTCTACCGACTGCCCTAGTGCGTCTACCAGAGTGCCGGGTGCTGGCCTTCTTCCATTTTGAAAGAATTAATGTGTTGATGGAATAGAAACAACTTCAAGAACCTCAAGGCCTGTTCTTCCAACGCTGTCATTTTAAAGGCAAATCCTGTTTCTGTCCTCCAATTCAGTATCTTAAAGGTAGCAAATGTCAGGGGAGCCACCCAAACCTTTATTGAGCCACTCACCATGTCACCAAGGAGAACAGGAGATTCAGAGGGGCATGTCAGTTAGCCCAGATTTCCCTTAGAAGCGTTGCTGGCTGCCCGTCCGGGCTCTGCCCACAGCTCACAGGTGGCCTTGGCCATGCCAGCCTTGAGGCCAGAGGACCCAGAGGATCCTTTTAGCCAAGGGCTCTGCATCTGTTAGACTCCAGCCCCCTGGGCAGTCCCTCCACACTGGGGGGCAGTGGGCAGGAGGTGGGAGGGCAGGTGTGGGCACCACACGAGCTCCCATCAGCGCCGGGGCAGGGGCGCTTTCTGCCGGGTCGGCTTTGGAACAGGTGTGATTGGACTACGGCTCTCCTTCCACCTCTGCTCTTAGCTCAAAGCATTTACTGATGTTCATGAATGTCACCTTAGGCCAAAAAAGCTAAACGCTAGTCATAACTGCTTGGAAAGAAAGGAAAACAGTTGCAAAGCAATCCCATCTCTGTGCTTTTGGGTGTATGCTTTGCAATTCCACGCCTGTTTTACCTGTTCGCAGAACCTACCAGTTACCACACTGCCCAGGGCCCAGGTGCATTCCCAGGAGGCGCTGGCTGAGACCAAGTGCCAGGGCCCTCCTAGCACTACCTGTCCTCAGGCAGGTAGCCGCCCTCCGGACCTGGGCTTAGTTAGGATCCAGTCCTGTGCGGTTCATATCCCGCACGCCGTCTCACAGCTCTGTGACCCCCACTCCCAGGTGAGGGGTTGAAACTGAGGCGGATGAGTGACTGCATGGCAGGTGCCACGAGAAGCTGATAGGGATCTGCCTGTAGCCTGCTGGCTGCTTCCTGAACTGCGGCCTCCCCCCCCCTCAACAGCCTCTGAGTCAGCAGGTCCACTCCCTTCCCCCGGGGAGACAGCATTGAGCTTCCGAGGGGGAGCACCGGGTGTCTTTCCAAGGAATAGCATAGGGCGAGGGGGGCAGTTTCCCATGGAGCGCACCCCAGCTCCGGGGCCCCACTCAGCTCTCTCACCCCTGTGCTCCTGACTGTGCTCCCCCTGACAGGCCGCTTCGGAAGTGCCCGGGCCCGCGGATGAAGGCAGCGCGGAGGACTTCATCCTGGTTTCCAAAGAGGACGGGGGAGGCAGCGCCAAGGCGCCCCCCTCCAGCCAGGCCCAGCCGCTCCGCACCCTCAGAAGCACGTCTGGGAAGGGCGAGGGCCTGGCCCGCTTCCCGCTGGTCTTCTCCGACCCCCTGATGGGCCCGGCCTCGGCTTCCTCCAGCAACCCCAGCTCCAGCCCCGACGACGACAGCAGCAGCAACAGCAAGGACTCCGGCTTCACCATCGTGAGCCCCCTGGACATCTGACACAGAGCCCCCCACCCCCCTCAGCAGCTCCAGGCCCAGCTGAGCCCCCCGCTGGAGACCCCCCTGAAACCAGCGCTTCTTTCCCTCTGAGACCAGCGCTTCTTCCGCAGCATGTGGCACCGGAGCCACCCGCCAGAACCTTCAGAGAAAAGCAAATGTGCCACAGAGCGTACAGACTGATGGTCACCAAGATGCAGGCAGGGCTTTGGCTCTTCCCTAACCCCTGTCTCCCCGCCCCTCCCCCCCAACTATGGTGTGGCCACTCCACCGGTTACATCTGGAAGGAAGAAGAGCTGGTGTCCAGTCCTCCTCCCTCAGAGCATCCGGGAGAGGAAGTGGCTGACAGCAAGGACACGCTCTCTCTGGAAAGCTGTCTCGGCCGAGTTCCTTTCTCCTTCGGGCAGTCACACAGCAGAGCCCAATGCAGCAGGAAGGACCGGTCTGGGGCTGGAAGAACATTATGGCCTCTCGGTAGTTCCGGTGACCTTTAGAAACGGGTCTGAACTTAGAGCTCATTACAGTGAGTTTAGGCTTTTTGTTTGCTAAAGGATGCACTTCCAGGCCTCAGTCCAGATCCCCGTGGCCATCCCCGCCCCTCCTCCTGCAATCATGCTTCCCCTGCGGAGGCCGCCGAGCAGCCTGCCCGGGCGCTGGCTCTTTGGGAGCCGCCTCTGAGGCGAGGCCTCTGGCCCTGGGTGCTTTCCTGGCAGCAGGTGAGAGCTGCGTACGAAGGAACAGACACCGTTCCATCCCGCCCCTACGACCGTGTCTCCTCTACACAGTGTGATGCAGGCCCCCCTCCTGCTCCAGAGCTCGGTGTTGACTTGGGGTCAGAGGGGCTCCTGCCTGGCTCTGCAGTTAGTCCTTCTGCTCCAGCAGGGGCGCCTCCTCACACAGCCTGCGGGGTGAGCCAGTGTCCCTCAGGTTCCTGAGAGGCACTGAGGGACGCGGCCAGCCTGCGAGGTCTGCTAACTCCCGTGGAGGCCTCGCTGAGCAGCTGCTGCCATATGTCCCCTGAGCTCCGAGGCCCCTCGGTGAGGGGCCTGGCCGCTGTGCAGGGCCTGGCTAGGGAAGGTTCTACAGCGCTGTCCTCGCTGGTCCCATGGAGCTGGCAGTCTCCTGGCGGCAGAGCAGGATCGTCTGCTTACTTCCAGCCTTTCTTCTGCCTGGGAGTCGGAGTCCTGGAGCAGAGTGTCACCGGCCCCACAGTGGCCACCAGACACCCCTCCAAGGGGCTCTGGGCTGGGTCCTGCATCAGGGTCCCTGAGACCTCAGCCCTGCAGCATGCAGGCGGGTCCTCACGCTGGGCTTCCATGTTGGTGCCACATGAGAGCCATTGGGGTCCCTCAGAGGCTTTGCTCCTGTGGCCCCAATAACCTGCTCACACCTCAGAGAAAGGAAACCCACAGGGAGGGGCGGTGCAGACAGCAGCCACCCTCCAACTCCCATAGTTTTTGGGGTCTGAGATTCGAATTACTCTTATCTTTTTTAAGTGACTTGTTTTTATTCTTCATAATTGAGCATTGTTTGCTTTTTTATTAGTTACAGTGCTGTTAAAGAATTTATGTTCCTTTTTATTATTTTATCAGGTACTTACATGTAATGGCACAATTTTGAAATCCCGAATATATATATATATATTTTTTTTTCTTTAACAAATGTGATAATCATTGGAACCCTTTAGTTTTTTGATTATCAGCAGTTACATTTTATATACGTAAAGCTTAGATTCATTCTCATCATCATCTGCCTTTTTTATACATGCCCCTCCCCGTGTTCATGCATTCCTCTCTGATCAGGGTGAACATCTGAGTGAGATTACACGTGTACCTTACCTGTGGGGTTTCAGCTCAGAGAAAGGAAGTCGTGATGACCTTGCCTCACCTTGTGTGGCTGCCAAGGGGTCATAAAGCGCTCCGAACCCTTAGTTATACTGGATTCTCCCGGAGACGGCCTTATAGAGTATCCTCCGCTAACGGCAGTCGGTGAGAATGAATGTGACTGACAGTAAACCCAGCCTCCCCTGCATATAGCTAGTAGGATCTCATACATCATCTCGGGGGGAAAGGGAGGGTGATTGTTCACCATTAACAAGAACTAGATGGCAAACCGTTATAAAATCCTGTGGCAGTTCTGTTGCCTCCTAATGATAACCTGCCAGAGTTGACCCAAATTTATTCTTTTTGTTTCTATTGTTTCTTTAAAAAGCCCCCCCAGGGGTCATTACAGAACAAGCGCGGATGGAGGACTTAGTCCCCCACGCGGAGTGGCTGCCCCGTGGAGCCCACCACGCAGCCCCCATCCCCCTCCCGCAGATGTGCGTCTGCCCGCCCCGCACAGGCGGGGTCCCAGGGGCGGAGAGGCGGCGGGTGCATTGGGGCCGCAGCTGGCGAGCCAGGCTTCCTTCTCTCAGGCCAAAACCGGTCCTCAGTATTCCTCTCAGAGGCTCTCTTTTTATGTGCTAACGTGAAATATAAGGTTCCTATAAACAGGCTCGAACCACTTTGATGTAAAAGTTGTCATAATAATTTTCTCACAATGGCACAATTCATTTGATTTATGGGTACTCAGTCATGCCATTTATATCTATTGCTTTTTTCTCATTCATCTTTACGCTATAACTCAGACTGACTGAAGAAATGACTTATCCTGTTGGCAGAGGGATCCCATTCACTACGGTTCTAATAAAAGGCTAATGTGGAATGAGAACGCAGCTTGACTTGTTCCAGGCGGGGGGTGGGGGCAGAGGGTGCTGGCCTGTCCTCACCCAGTGGTGCTATGGCTGCCCACCCCAACACTGCTCTGGGGAGGTTCCCCCTGCCCCCTCGGCCACGGCACCACTTTCGGAGGACCTAATGTTAGGCTTCCAGTTACCCACAACGTGGTGGCATCAACAATCGCTGTGCCCAGGGGCTGTGTGGGCCGGGAACTCAGAGAACACGGTTGGGACGGTCTATCACGGGGCCTCCAGTGTCCGGGGCCTCAGCTGGAACACTACAAGGGCCAAACCCACTACAGCAAAGCACGGAGGCCGGGTCCCGGGTGTGTGTGTGTGTGCCTGTGGGCGTGTGGCTCACCGAGGGCTCCTGTGGCATGGGCAGGGCTGCTGCTGGCTTCTCAGAACCCGAGGCCTCAGAGAATTCAGAGAAACCCAGACTTTCAGAGAAAGTCTGGAGGTGTGCTGCAGAGATGTTCACCACAGAGCCGAGCGGAGCAGGTGAGAGCTAGTTCAGCAGGGCCAGGAGGTCACCCTTCCTGCCCCAGCCCTGGGCGGAGGTCCCTCCGCAGAGCAGGTGTCAGATCTGTGCCCGAGGTGCGTGTGGAGGTCGGAGGAGCATGGTACCAGGCGCCCACAGCCCGGCAGTCATCTCTGCCCTGTCTGTGCACAAAGATTGCCGAGACCTCACAGCCTGGACCCTCCTGCTCAGGCAGGGTTTGGCCCCAGCTCATTCCGGAGACTTTGGGGAGCCCCTCACCCTCTCTGACACTTGGTCTCTTCATCTGAAAAACAGGATGGTCAGGTTAGATCAGGTGCTTTTTTCAAACTTTGACCATACCCACATTAAGAAATACATTTCTCAGTGCTATAATTCACAGGTCCCAAGACTTAGTGGCTTAACAAGGAAAGTTCATTTCTCACACACCTGCAATGCGAGGTCTCCTGGTTTGTGGGTAGCTCTCCTCCATGGGTGATTCAAGGACCCAGCCACCTTGACCCAAAAGTAGATGTCACTTTCAACCACATTAGCAAAAGGCAGACCACACAGCTCTGCAATACGAGGGAGCCAGCTACCTGTGCCACACCCTAGACACACACACACACACACACACACACACACACAGAGAGAGAGAGAGAGAGAGAGAGAGAGAGAGGGAGAGAGAGAAGTTTCATGAAACAAACTTGCTCATAGTACGTGGGATGCCTTCTGGTTCTAATTCCTTCTACCTTATTTTATTAACACTGGATTCCTTAGAGAAGTAACCATAATATTATTCAACTCTGTAGTGAGTGAAGTTCAGTGGCCATGTCTTGAGGGACTTTTTCCGTCAAGAAGGAAAGTTACTTGAAGCCATAGCTGTCACTCAGAGGCAGATGCAGTGCAGGCAAAGTGGCTTTTAGCCCACAGTAGATTCGGATGTCCTTCTAGTCCATGCGAAGAAGTCAGGCCTGGTGAGGTGTCCGGGCGGGGAGGTGGCCCTGGGGGCCAGGAGGATGGTTTCTGAAGCAAATAACCAGGTTTGGAGGAGGGACATGCTGGCTCTAAGCCTCCTCCTGAGAGAGATATGGTTAAGCTTTTCTCAGAATGCAATTGACTTCGGACAAAATTCCAAGTAGGTGGTAATGGTGAGTGACCATTAGCACCTGCCATGAAGCTTCCTGGTGTTCCCACAGATCACCCCGTGCCCCCCTGCTGCCCTCACCCCGGAAAGTTCTGGTCTACCCACCTCACTGCTGATGTTCCCTCAGATCTGCCAGGTCTGCAAGAACACACCCTAAAAGCTGGTGCTCTTCTCTCGGAAACACCTGGGAAAGTGCCCCACATCTGCCCGGGACTCAGTTCATGAAGCATGACCCACCGTGGCACAGGCCCTTTTCTTGGAACAGATAGATCAGATTTCAATGAGTGACTCAGAGCTCCCTGTATAGATCTGACTTATATGTTCCACCTGGTTTTGCTCCATGTGCCGCAATTTGTGCAACTCTGCGATGCACCCAGAGCAAGGAGCTCTCCTGGGGAAGGCCGGCGACAGCAGGAAGGTGGCACTGCGCAGCCAGTGATCTGGGTTCAAGAAGGGCCTCTCCACACAAGCTGTGTGCCCTTGAGAACTTGCACAACCTCTCTGAACCTCCATTTTCTTACCTGGAAACAGATACATCGCCTGCCTCTTGGGACACACGTGAGGAGCAGATGCGTTAAAGAAAGCAAAGGGCCTGGCTCATGGGAAGTGTCCCCACCCGCCACCACCCCCCACACGAGGAGGGGCTGCATAAACATGTCTACTGAGGCTGTAGACATCACCGCTTTCCAACACATGGTGGCAGGCCAGGCCGGGAGTCCACAGGCGGTGACCGCGGTGTGTCCCGAGAGCAGCCCAGCCCAGGAACTGTCCCAGAGGAGCTGCCCACCGTGGAGCCCCTGGGAAGTCTGAGAGAGGATTTGTGAGTCTGAGAAAGGTGGGCTCAGGAATGGAGGAGAGACGTGATCCGCCCTAGGCTAGGAGGAAGGTGAAGTCTTCAACTGAAACTTGGAGTTGATGGCAGGCAGGGCCGGGGGGGGGGGGGGGGGGGGGGGAGATATGGGGTGGGGGGGGCGTGCAGCATGTCCCAAGAATGGAATTGGGGTTGTCTGGGGAGAGGCCTATGGAAGCATCTGCATTACAATAAATACCCTCCTCTCCTCCCCCCTCCCTCCCTTTCCCTCTTTCTCTTTCCACAAAACTGTGTTCACATGTAGTTGGTGGGATCCAGGAAAAGGACACTTGTATATCTTATGGTCCGTGGACACACCCCTCTGGGCCCGCAGACATACACACAACAAATGTGTACTGAGCATTTCAGACACTGTTCTAGGCCCTGGGGAAGTGGCAGGAAAAATGGCTCAGAACTGCCTTTGGACAGCGCAGGCCAGTGTCTGCCTTCCTGCCAGCACTCCCCAACTCCTCCCCTCCACCTTCCCCTCCTCCCTGCACACCCCCCACCCCACCCGCCCCATCCTGGCCTCTCCTGAGATGCTGTAAATCTGGGTCCCCGGTTTAAGTAAATGAAAGAGTTCAGATAAAGTCATGATGAATAACAATTATTTTTATAATTAAAACAATAATGGGAAAAAGGAGGAGAATTCCGGGAGGGGGGGAATGATGTTAAAAGGCATATGAAATCATATTGCAACGTTACACAATAAACGGAAAACTGGCAATTGGAGGGAAAGATGGCAGAGAACGTGAGAACACAAGGTAAGTCAGAAATGGTTTCAAGTGGATTTCTTATATAGACTTTAAAAAAAAAAAAAAGGAAATTTAACTTTTTATTTTGAAGTAATTTTACATTCACATGGAAGTTGCAAAAACAGTGTACAGAGTTCCTTCCTACCCTCTCCCGGCTTCCTCCAATGATAGCATCTCACTTACTCAGAGGACCGTTATGGAGACCAGGAAGTTGATGTCTGTACATTATTATCAACTCAACTGCAGGCCCTACTCGGGCTTACCCCTTTCTCTGTTCTCTCTCTCTCTCTCTCTCTCTCTCTCTCTCTCTCTCTCTCTCTCTCTCTCTCTCTCTCTCTGGATGGTTCTGTATAGCTTCAAGCAACTCTCCGCTGAAGTAGTTCCAGGATAGAGCTAACCTGCTCAGGTGTCCTGCATAATAAATGGGTTA